AGTTTCTGTTCATGTCCTTCGCTTATTATTATTATTTTTTTTTACTGGATTGACTTTTTTGTTGAGGTGTTGAAGTTTTTCTACTTATTTTAGAGATTAAACCCTTGACACATATATCATTGCCAAATAATACCTAAGGTTTACAAAGCTGCAAAAACCATGGAAAGCAGTATTTTACTTCTTTTTGCAATTTCATCCTAAATTTGATTAAGATGCACAGAGCAAGAAATGTCTGACTGACGGTATGTTTGTGTGCCTGCTAAAGGAGAAAGATGGCTGAAAAACGGTGGAGAATATTAACAACTACCTGGGCTCCTCATCACCTATTTGAATATTGGGATTTCAGTCAGAATTAAAAATAAATTTAGTTACATTTGTCTTTATCTTTAAAATAATTTCAATACCCCTTAGAAAGATGGTATTTCCCCAGCATGAAGATATTTTCCTGCTTTTTGATTCATACTCAATAATCCTAATTTATATTTCAAATAAATGAGATAGAAGCTCTGCTAATGAAGCTGTCACTGATAAAGTGTTGTTTTAATACCCTTCTTTTTGGCATGAGAGTCCCTGGGTATTGCACACAGTTGGCAAACTTGCCTGCTAACCAGTTCATCAAAAGAAACCCCGTTGATTTACTTCTTAAAAATTCAGCCACTGAAAACCCTACAGAGCCCAGTTTTACTCGCACACACATAAGGTTGCCATGAGTTAGAACTAACTGCCAACTGGTACTGGTACTGACTGAAGCTACAGACTACTGAAGAAATAAGTCTTTATAATATGTACAGGAGTAAAATAATTTTCCTCTTTGAGGAGGCATTTCTCATTATTGATTAGGAAAATGGTATTAAAATATGCTGCCAAACCTTACAAGTTTGGGGTTACAGAGTTTGTGGGATGGGGATTAAATACATTTGACTGAGTTGAGGAACTTTTTGTGTAATTACCTTTACTGAGCATCACATCCATAAGTCAGAGAATTTATACTTGCTCGTTGGCCCACATGCCTGAAAAGAATGGGCGTCCTCATTCTGCTCAGAACTTCATTTAAGTCTTCCATGCACACATCTCACTGTTCCCTGCACAGCTCATCTTTCCATTTCCATTCAGTAATTTCTCCTGTCACCAGACCCTGCTTTCAGGTTTGTCTAGTACTCATTTTGCCTTGAAGAGTAAAAACACTGCTCATCTTTCAATGCCTCTTTTCCTGACTTTTTCCTTACACGGTCCTTATAGGAAGCCACACATTCTCAATGAGGTGTCCTCTCCATTCTCTCTCCACTGCACCACCTTATTCCCAGGGACATCCAGAGGTGCTTTCCTGGTCTCCCTCCTTATACTGCATCCTCCCATCTCCAGTTCCAAATCTTCTGTGAGAAGGGCTCAGGGTTGACACAGAGTCTTCACAAAAATACTTTCATGTCAAAGTGTTCGGGTCATTCTGTCAGCTGCCATTTAGTTCATATCAGGTCATTCGAAACACAGTTCCAACATTTGCTTAGATGCAGTCAGCCTACACCCCTGGGTGCTAAGTGTGTACTGATTGAAAATTATATGTCAACATACACAAAGCCACTTTCCTTTAATGAATCCTTTTTCTGTGGCCCAAGGGGATCACCTTGTATAAGTACCTTACACTCAACACATGAGGACAATAATTAAGAAGTGCCTAAATTATGCTGATAACTTTCAGTCTTAAAGGGAAGACATTAAAACAAAGAAAGTGATTAAATTAGTGCTCATTCAAAAAACTGAAAAGCTGTTTTTGACCTCTACAGAAAAGGCGCCACATATTTTTAGAAGAACATGGACACATTGCATTCTGAATAATTATTGCTCCTGAGCAACAAATTAGGAAGGTGGGAAAGTTAAATAAGCACCTTGCACTGAAATGAAATCATCTGGCTAATTTGTTTCCAGGCGTAATTCAGCCCCATAGAAATGGTAAAGTGCTTTTCAAATTCCTCAGCCTCCTATAGGAGGCGTCCTGACACCATGAGACAGAGCTCAGCACCTGGCAGGAGCCCTCAGGATTGAAATAGATGCAAGGCCTGCCTCCTCCACCAGGTGTCAACGGTCACTGGCATATCAAAGCTCCTAAAGCAGTAACTGAAGGCACCTACCTGGAGAAGAGAACTGAAAACCTGCACTTGAACAACAAAGACGAGGAACTTTTTAAAAGTACCATGCCACCCTGAAACTATTGCCCTGGGATCATCCTTTAAACCTTCAACGTTAAGTCAAACAAAACTTTAGCTTAATTAGTAAAAAATGTCTGCTCTGAGCATTGTGTTCTTTTAAAGACCAATTCATACATACGGAAGCAAACTGACAACAGCAAATTGAACGGTTAGACAGGCAGCTTAGGAGACACCTTGAGTGTGGAGGAAGTAATTCAGAAAAGGAGGCTGAGAACAGATACACAACTTGAATGTAATCAGTCGCCAAACCGTACCTGTACAAATTGTTGAACTAGTTTATGTTCTCTGTGTATATTTTCAATAAAAGTGAGACTAAAAAAGAGTACTATGCCAAATATTAACTTAAGCAATGCTGTCAACTCTTATTTTCTCCCGTCTGTAAAAGTAACATTAAGAAACAAAACACGCTTTTCTTTGCCTTACCAAACTGAATGACTACTGAACAAAACAGAATGCTGCAGTCAAAATGCCTACCCTATCTTTCTCTCCCTGTAATAAATTGGTATTTTGAACATTTCTTATACTTGCAATTGTTGTTGCTGTTGTTAAGTGCTGTCAAGTTGATTCCGAACCATTGCAATCTGTACAGGGTTTCAGAGGAGTGGCTGGTGGGTTTGAACTGCTAACTTTGTGGTTAGCAGCCTAGTGTGTATCTTACATTGCCACACCAGAGAGGAAAATAATGCACTACATAATTTTAGGAAAGTAATGAACCTGGCAACTGCTTAAGAAATGTGTGCTAATTGTGACAATTTCTTGTCATAGGTCTAAAATACTTTCTAGCAGATTGAATTTAATACCAGGGTTGTTGTTGTCAGGTACTGTCGAGTCACTTTTAAACTCATAGTGACCACGTGTTACTGTTTCATTGGGTTTTCTAAGCTGTAACCATTATGTAAGCAAACTGCCAAGTCTTTTACCCTTGGTTTTAATGTTTTGGTTAGTAGCCATGCGTTTAACTGTTAAACCATGGTTAAACTGGACTTGTCTGGATAACCCTCCAGGAAGACAGGCAACAGCGAGAGCAGTAACTCACACAAAAAAATGAGTCTTCAACCTAATACTCATGTGTTCACAGGGGGGAAAACAAACAGACAGAGAAGTGAAAAACACTTAAAAAAAAAAAAAAAAGACCCCTTATTTAGATTATTTGATCTTTATCCATGAAAAAATTAAAAAAAAAAAAAAAAAGTCCCCAGATAGGTGTATTCAGTTTTAGGGGCGATTGGAGTGTAGACACAGACAAGAGAAAGAATATGGCAGAAATACAGAAAAACATTTAGAAAGTTCTGAATGTGGCAGAGATAGTGAAATAGTGAATTAAAAGGAATTACTTTTTCACTTATTTGTAGAAATGTTTTAAATGTGAGCAGGGGAAGGAGGAGAGAGGAAGTATTTGAATATCTTAATGTTTCTGCCATATACATATAGAAGTTGGAAAGTTTGATAATTCTTTTCTGGAAACCTAAGATTAAATAATTAGATTACAATATACTTTAGGACAAAATTACAGAAATTTTGTAGAATCAACTAAATACTTGCCTGAGAGTTGTATATAGCCCCCCCCCACCCCAATTACTGCTGTGATTAAAACAAAAGAAAAATTATATAAATTATACAGAAATTATATAAAAATTTTAAATTAAGCTGTTGTTGTGTGCCGTGGAGTCGGTTCCAACTCATAGCAACACTGTACAGGGGTTCTGAGACTGTAAATCTTTATGGGAACAGAAAGCCTCGTCTTTCTCCTGCGGGACAGCTAGTAGTTTAGAACTGCTGACCGTGAGGTTAGCAGACAGATTTGTAACTACTACGTTGCCAGAGCTCTTAGCTACTTACAAAAAATATATATATATGTAAATAGCCCCAGATTTCTAACCATCTGGTTGCTAAAAGATGTAACACTCAATAAAATGCTAAAAGAATGTTTTGGAAAGGCAAAATTCTTATTTTTTTGAGTAGGGGAGAGTACAATGGGTTATTCTTAGGATAAACTTTCAGTCGGGAACACGTATCAATTCTTACATCTCCCCACTTCTGATATTGATTTGAGAATCACTTTCAGTGTCTGATCGATTCTAGGCTCCTTTTCAGTCTTTCAGTGAAATCAGAAGGTAAAAACTCTGCGGAAAATGTTTTCCACAATTATCACCTTTCCATATGACTAGTATGAATGGCACAATATACAAATAAAACTTAACTTCTAGAAGGTCTAAAGAATAGCTTCAGATTTAGATTCTTTTTTCCCTTTGAACTAGAATGCGTGACATTTTTTTTTTTATTTGTTTAACTCAGCTATTTTTAAATGCACTAGGACGAGTGAGTTTAATTCTGTTCAAAGGACAAATAAGCAGATCCATTATTTGACTAAATGATTGCTGAATTTGTGGAGGCTGATTTTCCATTTGTCAATGATGTAATGGGATGAATCACAATGAATTTCCTTACTTTGTTAAGATCAAGCCTTATGGGGCCATTTTTGGTTTGGGTTTTAATTGCAAGCTTAAGGCTATAGGAAGCCCCATTAAGACTGAAGGAATCAATGATCTTGGCTTTCTGTTGAGTCAGTGCCATCACTGAGAACATGCTTTGTATGTCAACCTGGTGAAGAGGTCAGCTGTTATTGTTTCAGAGACTGTAAACTAATAAAGATAATTCCATAATGTTAAATAGGGAAGGGCAACTTTCTGCAAAAAGGTGTATTTCAGAAATTACTGATCTAACAAAGACTTTGGGTTGGGGAGGGAGATGCATGTGTGTGTGTGTGTGTGTGTGTCAGCGGCTGGTGCGGCATACCTCAAGTCCTCTGGTTTCCTCAATGAACCTCCTGCTGACTGAGACCAGAGCCTCCCGTGGCCACTCATGAAACCAATCAATAGCTGTGCAATTCACTATGGCTGGGAACTTCCGAGCCCGAACTCTCAGTGTGTGACCAACTGGAGAGAAACACAAAATAATCTGCAGAGACATGGGGGCAGGGCAGAAACAGGAGGATGATGAGTGAGCAAGGAATTACACTGCAGTGTTAGACAACAATAGAAAAGCGCACAGCCAACCTGACATTAAACTACCCTAGTGCAAATCAACATTCACTTACCTGCTAATGAAAGTATAAATCTGTCCAAAATGGCTGCTCCATAGAACTGGCAGTGATGCTATGTGCTTTTCTTAACTTTAGCCCTCTTCTTTAAAGCATTTTTGATGATTGTTATTAATAATGGAATTTTATTCTTTTCCATTACATATGTAACATTAACCCAATAAAAAACTAAAACTAAATTACTAGGATACAATAATTCCAATAATGACTTTCATTTTCTGTTTCCCTCCAATTTGTAACTCATCAAGCTCAATAAAACTGTACAATACACTTTTAAAACCCATCGTTTCATTATATTGAATGTTTCTTTTTCCATTTACAATAAAATATAGCTTGAGTTCTTCCTTCAAATTCTTAAAGGGATAAAAAAACATTCTTGTAATGAGACAGTTTGTAAGTTTCAGATTTAAGTTAAGAGATTAAACGTGCTTCCATGCTTTTAGACCCACATGGTTTTTTTCTGGCAGCAATTTTGTATGAAAGTACGTAATGGACACTTGGTGAAAGGGACAGGCCTCCAGAAGTCAGGCAGGTCTGGGGCCAATTAACTACTAACCACTAAGGTTAACCACTCCTCTGTGATTGCATGTTGCTGTGATTCTGAAAGCAATGCCACAGGTATTTTAAGGACCAGCAGGATCACCCACAGTGGACAGGTTTCAGCTGAGACAGACAAGGAAGAAGAAGAGACAGACTAATTCTGAATATTTAGTCACTAAAAAAATTTATAAAGAGCAGTGGATCATTGTCAGCACCAGAATCGTGAATACTGAACCATGATGAAGAGCACCAGAATACTGTCAGACATAGCACCAGAGGATGAGCCCTCCAGGTTGGAAGGCACTCAAAATACAAATGGAGAAGAGCTGCTTCCTCAAAGCACACATGACCATGGTGATGTGAATGGAGTAAAGCCTTCGAGATCTTCATTTACTAATGGGGCACAACTCAAAAGGAAAAGAAACAGCTGTAAACATCCATTAATAATTGGAACATGGGATGTATGAAGTATAAAACTAGGAAAATTGGAAATTGTGAAAAATGAAATGGAACACATAAACATCAATATCCTAGACCATTAGTGACCTGGGATGGTGGATACTGGCCATTTTAAATCTGATAATCATTTGGTTTAATGCAAAGAATAATAAAATTATAGAGGAATGGCATCATATTAATTATCAAAAGGAACATATCAAGATCTACCCTGAAGTAGATCTTGTAGATCTGGTAGCATAGTGGTTACAAATTGGGTCAGCAAGGTCAGCAGTTCGAAACTACCAGCTGCTCCAGGAGAGAAAGATAAGGTGTTCTGCTCCCATAAAGATTTACAGCCTTGGAAACCTCTGTACAGGGTCGCTATGGGTTGGAACCAATTCGACGGTACTTAACAACAACCCTGAAGTACAGTGCTGTCTGTGATAGGATAATATCCATACTTCTACAAGGAAAATCAGTTAATATCATTATTATTCAAATTTATGCACCAAACACTAAAGGCAGTGGTGATGAAACTGAAGAATTCTACCAACTTCTTCAGACTGAATTGATCAAACATTCAATCAAGATATATTGATAATTGCTGGTGATTGGAATGCAAAGGTTGGAAATAAAGGGGAAGGATCAGTTGTTGGAAAACATGGCTTGGTGACAGAAATGATGCTGTGGATTGCATGACAGTATTTTGCAAGACCAATGACTTCTTCACTGCAAATACCTTTTTGAAACAACATAAAAGGCAACTATACACAAGGACCTCACCAGATGGAATATATAGAAATCAAACTGACTACACATCTATGGAATTTGATGGTGGAAAATCCAAAACAAGGCCAGGGACAGACTATGAAACAGATCATCAATTGCTCATGAGCAACTTCAGGCAGAAGCTGAAGAAAATAAAAACAAGTCCATGAGACCAAAATATGACCTTGAACATATCCCTCCTGAATTCAGAAATCATCTGAAAAACAGATAATGCATTTGACACTAAAGATAGAAGAACAGAAGATTTGTGAGATGACATCAAGGAATTCATACAGGAAGAAAGCAAAAGGTCATTAAGAAGACAAGAAAGAAGGAAAAGATCAAAATGGAGGTCAAAAAAAGACACTGAAACTTGCTCTCCAGCATAGAGATGCTAAAGCAAATGGAAGAAGTGAGGAGGTAAAATTGCCGAATAGAAAATTTCAATGGTCAGCTTGAGAAGACAAACTCAATATTGTAACAAAATGTGCAAGACCTGGCATTAGATCTTCAAAAGGGAAAAACACGCTCAGCATTTCTCAAGCTCAGGGAACTGAAGAAAAAATTTAAGCCTCAACTTGCAGTATTGAAGGATTCTATGGGCAAAATATTAAAAGAAGAAAGCATCAAAAGAAGATGGAATGTTTTGTCCATGTTGTTGATGTTGTTGTTGTTGTTAGGTGCCATTGAGTCGATACCGACTCATAGCGACTTTATGCACAGCAGAACGAAACACTGCCAGATCCTGGGACAACTTCACTATTGTTGCCACACTTGAGTCCATCGATGCTGCCACTTGGCCAATCCATCTCATTGGGGGTCTTCCTATTGTTCTGACCCTCCACCTTACCAAACATGATATCCTTCTTCAGCAACCGGTCCCTCCTGACCATATGTTCAAAGTATGAGAAACGAAGTCTGGCCATCCTGGCCTCTAAGGAACACTCCGACAACACTTCTTCCAAAACGGATCTGTTGGTTCTTTTGGCAGCCCATGGCACTTTCAAATATTCTCCTCTAACACCATAACTCAAAAGCATCAATTCTTCTACAGTCTTCCATATTCACTGCCCAACTTTCACATTCATATGAGGTTATTGAAAATACCATGGCTTGGGTCAGGTACACCTTAATCCTCAAGCTGACATCTTTGCTCTTCAACACTTTAAAAATAGGTCTTGTGCAGCAGATCTGCCCAATGCAGTAAGTCATTTGATTTCATGACTGCTGCTTCCATGAGTGTTGATAGTTGACCCAAGAAGAATGAAGTCCTTGACAACTTTAATCTTTTCTCCGTTGATAAGAATGTTGTTTATTGGTCCAGTGGTGAGGATTTTTGTTTTCTTGACATTGAGATGTAATCCATACTGAAGGCTGT